CTCCAGCCTGCCAGGTAAATGTAGCATGTTTTCAAATATTTCCTTTCAGATGTCATAGCTCTGGTGTCTTCCAGTCTTTGTTTTTCCACTGTCCTTTTTACCTCCCTAAGAGATTGCAGTTAATTACAGCTCTTTCTTATCTGGTCTCTAGGAACTTTTTCTCTTCTCTAGGTGTAGCTCTCGGTATTCATAATTCACACTGATGCTGCACTGAGACCCTCCCTTGCTCTGGAGGGCCTAACCCTTCGGCCATCCTCTTAGCAATGCATCAGCTGTGGCAGGAGGAGGGGAGACATTTGCAGCATCCAAAAGCCCAAGAGTTATTACTGCAGCAGAAAGAGTAAAGGTGAGGTGACTTGCAAGAACACATGCTCTCCCTAAAAATAAAGCAGAGAGGTTGCAAAAAAATGTTGGCAGAAACAAGCATTTCACACACATTATCTGCACCTTCTCAAACACAAGTGTAAGGTGTGGGTTTTTTAGAGGAAATAAAAAACCCAGCACAATACAGTTTTCCAAGCCCTGTGCAAACTCAAGATTTCTTATTTTCAACTGTAGTTTTCTTGTCAGTGATTTCAGTCTTCCTTACCTGGAGACAAGTGTTCAGCAAAATTATTGTTTGTACTATTGAGGTCTAATTTGCAGGCAAGTGCCCCAATTAATCCATACTTTAGATAGGCATTTGGGGCTGGTGTATGCATTATATTCAAAACAAAAACCCTGAAAAAGGTTAACAAAAGCCTGGTGACAACATGTACCTGAAGGAAGTTAACATGTTACTGACTTAAAGGTTGACAAGGGAACATTACAAAGCCCATACTACATAGTTTCAATACAAGCAGCAACAGGAAAACAGTAACACCTAAGGGTTGATCCTGCAAATCCCTCGTCAAAATCTTTAAAAAGATTTTTCAAGAGAACATTTCAAAAAAACCAAGTTGACATGTAGAAACTCCACAGTTCCTATCTAAAGTAAAACCTATACAGTTTTTCATACACCTTTAAAAATATCTGAGTGCCACTTCACAGCAATTGGTAGAACACATACTAATTAAAGAGAAAATTCTCTTAGTTAGATTTGATCATTTGGCTGGAAAACCTCTCAAGTCATTTCCAACATCAGAATTTGTGAATGCTGATATTTGTCAAGTTTGACACATTCTAGATGAAATCACTATACTGAATGATTCCTGATAAACTTTTTTTTTTTAAAAGATAAGGAATCATAGGACAAATGCATGTGAAAAAGTGTTCACAGAAGCAATTACATTTTGCTAGCCCTGCAATCAGAGCTTACTTACAGAATCTTACTGAAAATCAAAAATGAGAAATGCAGATTTTCCTCTGTACATCAAAATTCTTGGAATGATCACCTTTAGACAGGGGATAGCCATTCATTTTTCATCCAACTTTTTTGCCAGTTTTCAGCCAACTTCTGACCTATTAAGCACAGAACTAAATTCATAAGGCTTCAAGATGTAAAGGTCAGAAAACTGATTTTTAGCTGCTGCCATTAAAGAAGCATCAGATGGAGTCTCCTAAAGCGAGAAGCTTGACCTAAATGACCACCAGTGAAATCTGTAGTTCCCTGCCTGCCAAGTTTTCGAACTACATACAAAAAACAAGTCAAAAAGCTTCTCTCTCTTCATTCATGCAGCCTTTGAGCTCATTTCAGCTGAAGACTTGTTTGCTTTCAAAGGAATCAAGTGATTTACCAACTGCATACTCTGCTTATGGAACAGCTTCTGTAGAAAGTCATATTTATGCGAGTTTCAAGTCCTGCTAATCTAGTGTTAAATTTTATTCTATAAAATTACAGTTTGAACTTTTTCAGCTGATCAGGCTTACTGGCATTCATTAATTTCCAAATCCTCACCATTTTCTTAGGTGTATGAATAAAAAGCCTCATCTAAAAAAGAATAATGCATCTTGTGCACAAAAAAAAAAAATGCATCTTACGTGGATACTTACATACATGATGTGCCACACCGACAGTTTTTCCAAATTACTTGAGGGGGGGGGGAAGAAAAAAAACCACACAACAAAACAACAGAACACCCCACCAAGTGAAATCTTGACTTCAAAAATCAATGATAAAAATCCCATTGATTTAATTGTGACCAAATTTTCAGTTATGTGCCATGGACAGAAATATCCCTTTAATTTGATCCCAGTAAGACATACCAACATTAGTGTAACTTCAAGCTTTTTTCCACCCACACAGCTCCCATCCAGAACCTGTCCTAGACCTCATACTTAACTCCAGAGTTTTCAGTAGTTTTGGTGGGGTTTTTTTAATACATTAGAGAAGATTCATGAACAATTCTGCATTTGTTTTGCTAATCCCTTCACGCAGATAGGAAGCTCTTCATAAAATAGCCATCAATACTTTCTCTCTCCATTACAGCTATCTGCAAAAATATGTTACTATATTATGGGAAACAGTCATCAATTTTAATCCTAGATTACTTTAACTTTCAATACATATCTAGTCTTTTTTTTTGTTCTTACTACAAAACCCAAAGTGGAAAAAAAAGACATGAAATCATATTGTATTGAAGGTTTTATTGATGGCTAAATTGCTGTCATTTAAATCAGGCATAGCACTTTAATTCTTATCTAACAGGACTAAAAAGAAACTGGCTATTAAAGATTTACTTCTGTAAGCCTTTAAGTTGCCAAAGACATACTGTTCTGCACAACTTCCATGCTGCCAGCAAATGACAGCATTCTAGCTGCATAGCTTACATTGTATGCTTTAGTATACAGCAAGGAGTGATCTTAAAATTTATCACTTTTAGCAGTTACACTTTTTTTAATTATGTTACAATCAAAAAACATTTTCTTACTTCCCTGCAATTATATACAATATAAAACAAAACCCAAAGTTTGTGGTAGAAACGTGTACGATTTGATCATATACAGGAGACCACATCAAATTTTATGAAATAAGTGACAATAATTATTTTCCGAGATTACACTCCAGTTCAACATTACTTTAATTGTCATAGCAGTGTAACGCTTTCCAGAAGCACGGAAAATACATCGAATGGACCAGATCCTCCTCTTTTGCTTTATCTTATGACTTAAGTGGACAAACCTAGCGTCACTATGTCCTACACAATCAGATATATGTGTATCACAACTCACTATCTAGGCTTGCTTTGCACTAGAGAAGCACTTAAATGAAATCTGATAGTCTCAATGTGTCATAAATAATACTTACAGAAGTATGTGTGATGATATTCACATTACTATCAAGTGGAAGAAAAAACTGCTGGGAAGGAAATGAACATGCAAATAAAATGTTAAAGAACACAATTTAAAAAAAAAACATCACTTAGAACTGGGACAGCATATTATAGAGCCGAAAAGGAGAAGTATTATTCCAAGTAGTAGTGCCTAGCCTTTAATTTACAAACAAAATCTTTAGCCAGGGCACAAAAAGAATGCCCTGGCAACCACTGCCCCATGCTAGCAGGTTCCTGCAGAAGTCCAGAGAAGAAACACAGGTTCTACAGGAGACTTTCTAATCTCTCTTCAAAGCAATAAACAGTGGAATAAATGAAGTTTTTAAAGGAAAGTGCCAGTACAGAGATGATGTGCTAGAACTGTGAGCCAAAATCTCTAATTTCCCCTTCCTGGTTCCAAATTATCAAAAGAAATAGACACTTCTTAAAAAAAAAAACAAAACAACAAACCAACCCCCCACAATAAAAAACCAAAAACCCAAGAAAACAAACCACAACAAAAAAACCACCCCCTTTTCAAGTAAGTTATTCCTCTCCACTCTGGTTTCCTACAGAAGATTTCACTGTGAGCAAAAGAATTCTGTGTAACACCAATGCTCACTGATTACTGGAATGAAGCATTAGCAGCAGTATAAAATACACGTAGGCCATAACCTGTATTTTTCCCTGTTATATTAGTTAAAATGAAAACAGCTGTTATAAAGATCTAGAAAAATTCAAATTATCATTCCAATAAAAAATGTTTAATCCAGCTTGTAAATACCAAATACTTCCCCTCCCTTCTTTGTGAAGATGCTTCAGACAACAGCTGTCAACCAAAATTCAGTTATTTATGCAGCACAGACTGCCTTAAAACAACATTGTCAAACATTCAAATTATAAATACAAGACCTCCTGTGCATCATAAAAGACAAAAATTCTCACAATATAAACACCACTTAGTTTTACTAGCTTTTTGTAAGTTACATTGCAAGTAACTGTCATTTCTCTAACATAAATCCCAGACTTGAAAGAAGTCAGACTGGCAGAGAATAGAAATAATTATTGTGAACTGCTTACTACCAATGCTGTGGCCACAGAACAATTCTCAGCATCTACCCAGCATGACACTTGCCACTGCAGCTATTAACACCGCTAGCAAAGTTGCCAACAACCGAATGGCTTGATGACTTAACACTTTTCTCCCCTGTAAAGGGAAAGTGCTTTAGAGCAGCACAGACATCACAGACAAGCCATAGCAAGGAGGCTTACATGTTTACTGCTTGTTATGTGACTGCTTGTAAACACAATGGAAGATTTGTCCCTTCAGGAGTAGAAATTATCTTTCAGTAATTTTTTTTCATTTATTTTAAATTCCTTCATAAGATCACAGGGACACAGCAACATGTAAAATTAAGGCTGGAATGACTTAAGAGCTTTTCCTCTTAAAGCTCAGTTTTAAACGTTCACTGTACTCTGATGTCATATATGATTTGGATAACTGGAAAAAAAACAAACGGGTGATTTACAAAGAAAGTCAACTGGTCCTAACCCTGTAATGTCTGTCAACAATATGATTTGCAGTGGTCCTTCCTACAGAAGGTCCACTCTGAAATGAAATGAGTGAAGATGAGTAGTTGTAT